CATTTTATGACCAATTCATGCAAAACTCCATGTAATCCCAAGGGGTTCACATACTTTTTCTTGCAACTGTAAGTGTGGATAATGTCATAAGTCACTTTCTTCAGTGCCTTTGTAACTTTGAATGGTCACTAAACAAATGGTTTTAAGTCAAGGGCAACTTGTACAAGATTTGACTAAGTAACAATATCGTGTGATACGACAGGTGTGATCTGATAATGATAAGGTATCATCATAAGGTAATGAAAAGGATTTTCTGTCAGGGAACATGTTTAGGATTATAACAGAATCCAAGGTGAAGATGGGACCATATTTCTTTTTAATATTGTTGCTGTTAAAGAACATCCTGCTTATGCATTTTTAAATGCTGTACAGATACTTATCAATCCAGTGATTCAGAATAAATAATGCAGGATTTTTAGACAACATTTATTCTCAGCACCTGCTAATATACTTTTTTTTTTGGGCAGTCCCACACCTATGTAAACACAGCCAGTGGTGAAGATGATATAAGGGGTCACCATTGTATGCACTCCTTACCTGAAGTTCATCCTGCGATTGCTCATTCCAACCATAGCTGCTCCCTGGAGGACCGGAATCCCCAGGTTTACCTTCAGCCAGGAGAAGTGAAGTTTGTTTTGGGCCCGAACCTGGGTTATAGGCACAGGATGAAATGTGATGGCTACTGTCGACCCTACTGGGAGTGCTCAAGGCATTTCTGCACCCCTCACAACAACAACAATGATTACAAAGATGAGTGCCTCGCCCCCAAGTGTGTTTATGAAAACCTCAACGGTCTGCTGCCTTCTCGTGGAACCTTTCTTCATCAGGGTAGCGGGCGCTTGAAAATTCCTCGTGAGGACCTGAATCCTGCCAGTTGCTCCCATCGCCGGGCCACCCTACTGCACTATGAGAACCTACCATCATTGCCTCCTGTGTGGGAGTGCCAGCCCCTAAGACAGGGCCAGGATGAAGAGGACTCTGGTGATGCAATGACACCTTCCTCCACTGGTTATCCAGAAATTGAAGAAGATGACCATTTACGAAATTACATGAACTCAGAAAGGGTTGCCCTACATGGAGGCATGCGTAGGGGAGGTTGCTTGCAACGGCGCCGCAGTTGTACCCCGAGCGTTTTCAATTTCGACTTCTGCCGGCCCTATTTGGAGCAGCCCAGGCAGCTCAATTATATCCAGGTAGAACTGCAAGATGATCCTTGTAAAGGGCGCCAAAGCATACCAGTCCCCCATATCCCATGTGCGGTTGCCCATCCAGCCCACAGGACCAATTCCTATGCGGTCATTGACCATAAAAAGACAGCAGCCATGTCCAGCTTACAGAGGGCACTGCCTAAGGATGATGGGACTTCCAGGAAAACACGACATAACAGCACTGACCTGCCTCTGTAAGAAGAACATTCAACCCAAGCACCTCATTGTGGCTTTTGTATCTGCTCTTCAACAAATCATGTTTCATAACTGCCATTTCCCCATTGTGCCCCCCTGTTACTCTGTGTGAGTCACTGGAATAGTTCCATCAAGCTAATTTAGGAAACGTAGCCTATCTGTGCCTCTTCCGAGCCTCCTATTCCTCTACCATGTACTTTCTGAAGCCCTGTCATGTGCTTGATTACTTGACGGGGTTGATGGCAGGGTGGGTAATGGTACAGTTGGAGTGTGAAGGCTAAGGAAACTCAGTTTAATTTTTGAACATACACAAAAAATATTTATTTTCAAATTTTGCATTAATTTATTTTTTCAGAGATGCTGGTATTTGTTTGTCTGTTTATTTATTTATTCAAGTTAAAGTGCCCAGTAAATGTAACACTGAATTGCTTTGCAATTAATTCTTTTCTCCATGAGAATCAGAAAAGCTCGGGGGGGGGGATTGTATCAGTTTTTAAAACAAATACAAGGCTAGCCACCAAAAGGCAAAACAGAGGAGGAGAATCAGACTGTCAGAGAAAGTAATCCATGCAAGAATGGTTCTAAATCCATGTGGTTCCAGGAGTGACTCAACATGCTGCCAAAGCTGACCTTCCCAGCTCCAATTTCTGACTGGTGGTGTATCTCATAATATGCCTCTCTTCACCCTCAGAGTAGGAAAAACTGTGGAACTATAAATTTCCCTAACAAATCTTTGGTGAATGTTTTTAACTGTTGCTGTTTGCCTAACAATTTGGGATAGTCTCTAAGAAGTTAATATTCTGATGTTATGGTACTACAATAGTTTGCTAGAATCACATAAAAGCTTTCCTTCCTCCATTTTACTTTATTGCCTCAAATTCAACACTCTAATATTGTCCCAGATATACTTTAATATGTCAGTGAAATCCGGGCCATTATTTGCAAATAATTGATTTGTGTGTGTGTGTGGAGGGTGGAACCGGAACATTTTGAACAACCTTAAGGACAAGCAAAGTTTTGCTTATTTGGGACTTTCACATTTATCTTAGGGTTAGTAATAAACCTACAATAGGGAGTATACATCTGGTGGCCATAATTTATTTTGTGCAGCTTTTGGTCTTCTCAGAGATGGCCCATCCAGGAATAACTCTGATTTGTTCAATCAGTTTATTCTGCAAATCTGTTCCACTGAAGCCATTTTTAAAATTCACTGTATGCAAAACAAGCATTATAGAATTGGGGATTAGAGTTTAGTAGAAAGTTACCATTTCTTTGTTTTCCTTTCCCAATCTATTAAGAACTGTCCTTATCTAATACAGTTTTTCAAAATGCATTTTGTTACTTATTTATTTTTGGAAAATAGAGTGTTTACCTGTTTTGTTTTGAATTTCTCTTGTAATTCCATCTCAAGGAGTTTTTCAAGTGATAAGCTCAACAAAACCGATCTAAAGTATTCATAATTTGGATAAATATTAATTCTAACTTTTACATATGGATTCACACCATTAAAACCTTACCCAAAAAACATATTTGCAGAAGAAGGTTTAAAAACTGCTTGAAATCATGTTTATTATTGTTAATTATTGCTCACCATATAGTCATGAAACACATGCTTTGCATGTAGAATATCCCACATTTAAGCAGGAGTAAGAATTTCTCATCTGAAATATGAGGTATTTCCTATTAACATAGATGATAGCGACTTAAATGATGAATATTATGCTCCAGTGTGTCCTGTATCTTTCAGTTTCTGTTCTACTATTCCTCTGCAGTTCTACTGTAGACTCATAACTAAAAGAGAGAGAAAATACATTAAAGGAACAAGAGAAGAAATGGTTTCATAGAGAATTAATCTTACTTCTGTTACATATATTTCATGTCACAGAGGAGTTTGTCAATTAATGCATTTAGATTTAGGACTAACTTTTATATGATAACTGTATATACAGGATGTGACCTGGGAAGTTTTGAAAGTGGCTGCTATTCTATATGGTTTCAGTATCACAAGCAGGTATAAAAATGTCAAATTTCAGCATTTTTTCCTCTATTTCTTTCATTGCAGTCTTATGACCATGTTCTAAAATTCATAGCTGTAAGGGGAAGATAGACCGATTTGGGTAGACATCAAGATTTCCTCACTGTGGCCCGTTGTCATATAGTTAGGATCATCATGAAGGCATTGATTTGATGAGTGATTTTGTATTATTGCTGTATAAATTGGGCTATTTCTGATTTTAACCAGTTACTATAAATTCATTTTGCTCATTCAGCACTGCCTTTTTAATTGTTGTGCATAATAGTTGTAATTTATTAGTAGACATTAAAATTAGGTGGTCTTTTATGACCATTGACCTTTGTGGTGTTCCAGTGTCTAATCAAAATCTATTAGAATTAATAGAAGAATTTCTCTGTCCCCTATTTGTACTTTAGATCAACTCAGTCCAAATACATCATCATCAACATCAGATTTTTATTCTTCGGTTTTTATATATAACTCAAGGTCCTCTAATTTTCCTCACTACGCATCTGTGAGGTGGATTGGACTGAGAGGGAATAACTGGCCCCAAACCACCCAGCTGGCATTCATGCCTAAGGGAAGACTAGATTTCTATTTTCTAGCCCAGTACCTTAACCACTACACCAGACTTGCTCTTGAGCTATTATGGGGAGTTTCAGTATGCAGAATTCAGTGTCATCATTTGCCTTGTCATCAGCTTTATTTCACAAATCCACATGTAGTTCATTCTAGAACATCAAATGAAGGCTTCTATATAACTGGTGATGAGAAAGCTGGAGTCCAGAGGACTCCAACAGCTTTATGTCACCACTCAGTAGTGATCACAAAGCTAGGTAGTCTATTGATCTATCTTAAATATTCAGTTAAGATGGGAAAAATGGTCTTCCTTTAAGGTGTAATGGAACTTAAAGGGTAATTAATTTAAAAATGTTGATTAGAAAGGAGGACGTGGGATAAAATAGGGAGCTCTCATTCAAATATTATGTTTACTCTGAGAGATATTTAATGAAAACAAAGGACTTAGAATACTTTCCGGTTGCTATTGTCTCAGAGTCAGCTAAAATTACACTTTTGTACCCTGATGCCCTAGAAGTATGCTTTAGTTTTAAGTGCTAAGAAATGTGTTTACCATGGTACAATTAAATCAGTGCCAAAAATAAGTGTTTTATCTAATTGAGCCACTATATGGTTTCACTGTTTGACTTGGTTTAGTGTTTGGATATAGCCATTTTGGTTTTTAAATCAGGTTTATGGCTTAGTGTACTCTATGAATTGAACCAGTTTCGGCTTAGTTACTAAGCCATATTTAAACAGTAACTTATTGTGTTATGTGGCTCTTTCCATTGAATGAGATGAAATGAAACATATGAAGCTGGTTGCCTGCTAATGTCTTTTTGCAGTTTACATCCATTCCTCATTTAATCGCTAAATATGTTCAATGCACTGTACCTTATTTTATTACTATTTATTACTGTTATCTTTCAGATACCTTTAAGGAGCATTTTCTAATGTGTCAAGAATGGTGCTTTTGCCAAGCCTTTGTGAAGGATAGAAAAGTTCCAACTGGTAGAGATTCTTAATAGGCAGATGAAAAGCAGAAATGCAGTTGATGTACTAACTAGCCTCTCATAGAGTCAGACTGATAGCCCCCATCAACTTTCAGGGGAACAGGCTGATTGAATTGGTCCACTGCAAGCACCTGATGGATCGTTTTGGTTTCTAATGGTGTTTGGGTAGTGACCTAACAGGCAGCTAGCTCTTTGTGGCATTTGTTCAAATCTGTCTAATGATAGTAATATTTTTTTATTAATACTTTTGTTAATAGTATTTATTCGTTTTAATGGCTTGGTTTTTTTTGAGTATTTTATAAGTGTTTTATTGTGTTTGTTGTAAGCTGCCTAGAGTTGTGAGAACAGGGCAGCATTCTAATAGTGGTAAATAAATAGATAAATAATTGTTCAGCAATCCAGAGTCTCCTTTACAGGGGTGCTTGCACTGTTCCTTCATCAGCTCTGCATCCACATGATCGCACCTTGACATTACTGGGGGAAACAGAGCTGATTAATTCTGAGCTCAGCAGCAGGGCAGGAGGAAGTGCTGCAGATGCTGAAACTGAAGTGATAGAGCTGAGAGGTGGGAAATTTTCCTTTAATGGGAATTCTTGGGTCATCTGGTTCCTGAGTTTTCCATTCTTCCTGATTGGGTTAAGGAACTATGGCACTACAGTGCCTTTTTATCAGTCTTAAAATACATAAAGAGGCAGTTTTGTAGCTGCCATCCTTGTAGCTGATCTTATTTTTATATGTCAACAGAAACTGTGTGAAGTTTGAGTGAGGGAGTAAGTGCATTGTCTGGCAACATTTTTTTTTTTTTTGCACTCTCCCATTGGTGCAATTGCCAAAATGCTGGCAGTGAATTTCAGGACACTGAATTCCTGGGGGTGATGTGCACAAAAACAATTTCTGATATTCTCAATAGAAGTTTGCTCTTATTCTCACCTGCTATATGTGTAGCATTATATTTAACACTGCGCAAGCAGGCAAAAGTAAAAATGACTTCTCTGGCAATAGTTACAAGCCTCACAGAGTTGGAGAGTTGATAAACATGATGCTTTCCTATCTCTGAATATAATATGCTCAGCAATTCATAAAATTATTTATCTGCTTTTAATTGTGCAATTGGAAAGAATCTGGTGCAATTGGAAAGAATAATTCAGCAAGTTCCATAATAAATTGCTATTCAAAACAACCACTACTTCCAAACTAATTTGGATATTGCCCTTTTTTCCCCTCATGAAAATTCCAAGCCATTAACAACCATCACAGTCAAAAACCTAGCACATTTCTAAGCTTAGCTGTGCTGTTGTTGCAGTAGCTACCAGGTGTAGCTACATATTGAACCTTTCTAGAGAAAAAAATAATATGTGAATTTAAAGTAGAGCCATGTTTTATTGCATCTGTAACATTTCCATATTAGTCATCTTTTAGGATCAGCACATTAAATATAGTTTGCAGTCAAGGGACTGTGGTAGCCTAATTTTCTTTAGGCTTCAGTGTCAAAATGAGGTACTTAATTCTCTTGGATACTTAAAGTAAAATAGATCATTATCTATCATCATAGCCCCTTTTAAATACATTGTCAATGAGTATGTGTCTATTTACAGCTACAGTCCATCCAGCAGCTTTTAAAGTTTAGGGCAGGCACTGTAAACTCACTGAATGGAATAATGACAATGGAATACCTACTCATCTCTCAAGGGCATTATGAAGATTAAGGTTTGAGTATCATACATGCCAAGAAACATTAGTACTGTACTGAATTTACTTTGCACGTCAAATGGAATCCCATATTAGTTGTGTTTAGTGTGAAAGGGCATTACCTCTAACCCAATTCCCCAATTCCTTAGCGGCTCATAATGGTTATCCATATCTTCTGATTGGTCTCTGGGGAATCTTGTTATACATAAGATAATAGGCTTTATTTATGTTTTAATATTTCTTTAAAAGCTTTTATAGTTTTAAGTTCTTCCATGAGAGTTCATCTTTTCAAGCATTTTGGATTTTATAGAAGCAGGGAACTGTTGCCTCTTTGCCTAGTGATAGAAGAATGTGAATGTGCCCCCATTTTCCCATTAAGGGGAGGTAGGGAAGAGACAACTCTATATAGTAATATGTAACCAGCTTATGACGATAGTTTTATTTTCCTGGAACTTTAAGTCCACAGATTTATGAAATACTTGAAATGTTGCAAACGGTCCTGTTCTTGAATTAATACTAAAAAGTAACCAAATTGGAGCGTGGGATTGTGAGACAACAACTTTCAGTGGATAGATTTCCCCACCGCCCCGTAATTCATTTTGAAAAGCCTGGCTATAGCTAGGTAGATCTCAATGTCTTACATTGTGCAGTTTTCTTCATTGTTATTTGTACTGATGATTTTGCTGATTGTTTCTGTCCTGGCAGAAAAACAAGGGTATGGGGGGATGCTCAGTTGTTCTGGCCATAGAAGTTGCTTTGTGATTTTTATTCAGTGGTTTCTGCTGTGTATCTCTGTTAATTCCTATTTGTATCTTATCCTGTGTAGCCTTCAAAGTGAAGAGCATTAGCAGTGCCATGTGACTGAGGAGCACTAATATCTTATGTTAATGTGCACAACGAATGTATCTCAAATAAATTAATTCTGATGCTTATCTTTTGGAAAGTGTGGCTTATTTGGTAACTTGTAAACAAAAAATTTATAATTACCAAGGTACTCTGATCTCTGACAATTTTGTTTGCTTGGCAATCCTGGATTTTCTGTATAATACATATATTAATCTCCAATGTAAGATCCTCCAGATGTCTTGTGTGTCAGCTCTCATAATGTGTAGCTACCATGATTTTGATGGTAATTCTGAGAAATTAATTAAGGTACTTGGGAGATGCCAAGATAAAATTATAGAACATTTTCCCGGCCATAAAGTTGGTGCTTCATTCACTATTTATAAAATAGTGGCCAGGGTCGTCCCCCCCCCCCACAATAATATAAAAAGAAATAGAAACTTCTCATGGGAGATTTTTTCCATACTAAGAAATAGTTAATAATAGTCCTAGAGCCATAATAGTGAACCAATGGCATGCATGCCACAGGTGGCACATGGAGCCCTCTCTGCGGGCACGTGAGCTGTTGCCCAGCTCAGCTCCACTGCATGCCTCCCACCAGCCAGCTGATTTTTGGGTCTCTTCTGCGCATGTGGGAGATGTGCATGCATGTGGGGGGGTCACATCATGTGTGGGGGTGGGGGGAGCATGAGGGGGATGTGGTCCCCCCCATAGCCCTTTTTTGGTTTCAGGAGGCCTAAGGGAGGCCTGCGAGACCCAAAATGGAGCATGAGGGGGGGGTCACGCATGAACGAGGGAGTGGGAGTCACGCACATGTATGGGAGGAGCATGGGGGTTTGCATGAATGCTCAGAAAGGCCGGGGGAGCGGGGGGGTCATGCACACATGCGTAGGGGGCCAGTCACATTGCATTATGGGTGTAGGCTGCGTGATTCTGGCACATGAGGAGAAAATGGTTAGCCATTACTGTCCTAGAGAGAGTGGGTTCATTGCAATGAAAGAGACAATGGCTAAAAGTTTATAAAGACCAAAAATCAGTCTTTTTATTCTGGCAAACTATTATTCTAAGGTATGGGCTTTTTAACTTCAGTTACAACAATTTGCAATTTTTAGAAACCCATCAGATAAGGTGTGAGAATCAATTATTATCCTGTTATTTAATGATAACACTCTAGGCGTACTTATCTGATGCATGGAAGTGACTATCAAAAATCATGCTATAAAGGTATTCTATTTTATTTTGATCAAGGGAAAAAAGGTGTTCTGAGACTTTAGAATTAAATACGGGGATGGGCTTCAAAAATTTCAGCAATAGGTTCTCTGCTCGGTTGCTGTGTGGGCGAGGCCATGGTGGGGTCTATTTGGCCTCCTGCACCACAGTGAGGCCGTTTTCGTCTTTTTCAGGCTCCGGAGGCTTTTCTCGAGCCTTTGGGAGGGCAAAAACTGCCCCGGGTTCCGGAGGCCTTCTGGGAGGCCCGGTTCCCCCTCTCCCCAAGCCTTTGCGTGGCCCTGCACTTACCTCACACCCAAAATGTGGAGACTCCTGGGTGAAGTGGGGTGGGGTGATGGGCAGAGTGTGGTGGGCGGGGTCAGTCGGAGGCAGGTTCTTCAAACCGGCAATAACGTTAGCTACTTGTTCTCCTGAACCTGGGTGAACCTGTAGCAGCCCACCCCTGGTTAAACATGCAAGCACCTGCCTGGTGTGAAAGATAGAAGTCTTGATGGTGAACGTTGCAGTTTCTGGAGACAGCAGAATAGAAAGAGCCAGAGAAAATCACAAAATAGAAGTAGAATCACTGTGGCAAAAGAAAGCAAAGATTAGTAACAGATACCTTGGGTGCAATCCTAAAACATCTGGAGCACTGTTCAAACACCATCAGCATTCATAAAATCACCGTCAGTTAAATCCAAAAAGCACTTCACTTAAAAGCTTACATTCTGCAATGATTCCTCTTAAACCATCCAACAATCTTTGCCTGTCCCAGGTCCTTGGGAAGGACTTGATTGGTGGATAAAATTAAGCCTAAACATGTGGCTGACTGTCACCAAACATAATAAATGAACAATCATCGAGCCTAAATTAACCAGGCAGCCTAAGTAGCATTAATAATCAAAAGCTTGGTAGAACAAGAACTTTGCAATCTTCAGATAATTACTTTTTGTTGGTATTGATGATACGGATGTAAATACAGGTTTACAGATGATTTCGCCAGCAGCTTCATGTAGACAATCAACCTGGGAGAAAACTGAGTTGTGTGGAACCACAATGAAATACTCCTTAACTGTGTAAACTTCATTAGTTTACACAGTGCCTCTAATCAGACAATGTTGATTATACAACACGAGCCCTGTGGAACCACCTTGTGCCACCTTAATATATTTTTAATTGTGTAAGCTTCATTAGTAATGTTGATTAAGATTTGAATAGCTGAGCTCTTGTTAGTTCCAAATGAGTTCTTTGACTGGCTAATGGAGCTCAGTGCATTAGCACTGAGCTCCTTGTTTCCTAAGCCTGCCCTCCTGCTTCCTGATTTAAATTGGTTCTGAAACAGGAATGGAGAACTTCTGGCTTGTCAAATTAATTCAGGTTGCTGAAGTTTCTCATCTAGTCTCTCAACTGATCTCCAGCTCTCATTTATAGGTGTTTGCCTATATAAGATTTCTTAAAGCTCTCTTTGCAACCAGACACTTCTAAAGAGAGAAGGGCCAAGTAAGGAGTTATTTAAGTCCCATATCCCCAAATCCCAGAAATTAGACTTTCTAGCTTAATTCTGTATTTAATTTAGTAACAGTTCCTTGAATACTAATAGCCACCTAGAGTCTCAAGACTGGGGTGGTAAATAAATACATAGAAACTTGAAGGTAATTACAAAAGCTCAACTGTATCAGCACTGAAGTGAATTCATGGGGAGAAAATACTATTACCATGTACTTCTTAATGACACAAAGTCTTGTTGGGGTAGAAAGGGGAGAATCTAAGAGCAGGCATGTCTGCTGGTTATATAAGCTGTTTTTCACTTGAACCCAAGCTGTCATAATAAGATAATGTAAGTTATATGGCATTTTTGTTTGTTTTTTAATGAGCGGGGAAAAGGAAGGATAAAATACAGAAGAGAAGGCAGGAAAAGAAAATAATAACAGCAACAACGAGGCAGGTCCAGACAAATATATGAGCTGTAAAAGAAAAACTGCATATACTAGTATTAAAGTAAAATATATATTCTGTAAAAAATATTTCTAAACCGCTAAAGAAAATATTTATTCTGCAGTATATAAGATAAATCCAGAAATATATAAGATGTAAATGGGCGTGTATGGAGGGGATTGGATGAGAATGCTTAAAAGTGTCAGAAAAGAATTACTAGGTTATTTGGCTGTTGCAGTGTTAGATAATGGCAAACTAGCACACTTAGAATGACCATAAAATAAATGTTAGGCTCCAAGAGGGAAATGAAAAGAATTGACTTAGAACTCCATACAACTGCATTTGGTAAGAAAGGTAATTCTTTCAAGAGAAGCAACAGAGAGGAAGATGAAATTGCACTGTGTGTTAAAACATCTCTACAAAGTTGGAAAACCAACTGAATGGATTTGACAATATTGCTCACAGCTTCTGGATAGATAGGGAAAAAAGAGAAAGAAATCAAAGAAGGAAATGTGGGTGAGAAAATGGTGATAGTAAGAGCACTCAAGGAAGGTAACATATTGCAATTTATTCTGAATGTAACTGAATTTTGTTTTGGAGAAAAAAAATGACACAATTTAATAAATTAAAAATCTGAGCAGAGGCAAATGAGATTTTACAGCAGGTGAAGCTAGGGTAAACAAGGAGCTCAAGACAGTTAAAAGTTCCTGAAAAAAACCCCATCAAAAACAATTTTGCCAACAATTTTAATGAAGGAGGAAGAAGAACATTGGCTCCTCCTCCCATTTCAAAAGAAGAATTCTTGTGGGATATGTCACCAGGATGAATACTGTACATACAGTACTGAAGTGGAAGCTCAGTTCAATAAAGATACTGCTAGAAAAGCTAGAGCTCAGAATCTGTGGTTGATGAAATACAAATATGTCTTCCATAGGTGTATTTATTTAGTTATTTTACAGTTTTAATAACTTTTCCAAATTTTAAAAAGCATATAACATAACAAATAGAGGAGAAAATAACTGGTATACCAATTGCTCAATAAAATATCTTATTTCAACTAATGTTAATAAAGTGCCCTGTAATATTCTAAGTAATACACCCAGTTAAATGTGTGCCTTCATATGATAGGATAAAGATGGCTGACTTGCTTTAGTACTTATGAAAACAACCTTAGAACTGCAGCTGGTTATCATTTCCATACTGCAAAATCTGCCAATGACGGTTGATAAATGATCCATGAAACATTCACAATATAAATGCAATTAAAATATCCATCTTACCTAAACTCAAAATATTTAAATCTAAGCATAGTTACAATAATTTAACACAACATGATCAAATAGTCCAAAGCAATAATAACAATCATAATAACAATAAAACAATGATGGCAAAATTTTATCATCATATATACCCCACAAGTCTTCATCTTTGTCATCTTCTGAAACATTAATAACAGGGGCTAATCTTACTTATAAAAGTTCACTCTAAAGGACACTTCTATAACAGAACACTGGGACCAAAATCAAGAAACAATGTTTAAGGGTTTTTCTGTGTTCATCGTGGAAACAGGAAGGCTCTTTTAGGATTGGCCAACTGTAAAGGATTGACCACTTCCAACTGTATAGGATTGGCCACTTCTGGTAGAAGACTATAAGAACTGTGATACAGCATCAAAAAGAAAGACAAATACAAATACAAATACAAATACACATTTAGACTTCATTAATAGAAGTAGAGTTTTCAGATTATTCAATTCAACTTTATCCTGCAGCAGTCAGGAGATAGCTTGAAAATTGTATCCACATCTGTGTGCCTTATTTTAAGAAGGATTCAGGAAAATATAATAGATTCAGTAAAGAGTAGCAAAGATGATTGAGCACTTGGAAAGAAAGAGCGCATCTGTGCTTACCGCTTACTGTATGTTGCTCCTGACCTCTGCCAATGCCAGCTTGATTATGAGCCTGTTCAAAAATTCCTATCTTGACCGAGATAATTTAGCAACAGCTTGCAATGTATTCAGTTCAAATTGTACACTACCAAACCCTCCCGTTGGATTTTCCCCCTGATGCTGTGCCCTCCCCATTTTCCAGGAAAGCAGTTACTTTTCTTTTCATGCCTTTGTAAGTTAAATATATATAAATTTATATTGGATTTATATATGCAACATTAAACTCTCAAAATGCACAAATATGTAGGCCCATCTTGCTTTTAAAAAATTCACTTCATTCTTATTGCACTTTTTCTTTCAAATGCCTTTGAGAGTTATCCTTACCATAAGCATAACTGCTGCCTTGTAAATGGAAGGTTAGAAACCCAATAATAAAATATTGCTATTTTTTCCTTACTTCCCAATTTTCTTTGTGTGCAAAAGCAAAACAAAACTTCAACAGTGGTGCACCATTTTTCATCTCCTCTAGCGCCTAAATATTTTTTTCCCCAAGTTCCAAAATAGCCCCTAGTTTTTCAGTTGTTTTGAAGCTGAGGGTGAAATCATTATGGGTCCAACAATTATAGACAGCGACACATATTAGATACACCTTCATGTGATCTATGCTGTCATCGGTCATCAGTGCCCTACTGGATTCTATATAGGACACATTTGTACAAACTTTGCACAAAAGAATGAATGAACATAAATTTAATATCATGACTCAAATCAAGGAGAAAGTAATACCAGAGCATTTCATCCTTCTGGATACTTCATAGTAGACCTCAGAGTGAATGTTTCAAAACAACACATATCAAAACATTTCAGGCAATCTCTGAAGGTTTTGAGAAATATGATGGATATTTAATATATTATTAATTAGTAAGCTACTGGTAATCTGTGACATGTGCAAACTGCATGTGCATAACCAATCTATCTTTCCCTTCCTTCCACCCTCCTTTCTTTCCACGGCACTCCAATTTAAATCCTCCATCAGCCTAGCCACTCTGCCACTTTGATGAAATAAACTAAAGCTCATGAAATCTTTTAATAAAATCTGTTGGTCAGAAAAGGTGTTACTAGATTTCTGATTCTTGTGACAAAAAGATGTGTCTGGGGTGAAAGAAAAATAAAAGAAACAAAGTACACTGCTAGAGTTTGGAGGGATTTTTGGGGTGGGGTGGGAGAGAGGTGTTAAAGGAGGCTCAGGAGATTTTTTTTTCAATCTACATTTCTGCCAGGATTCAAACCAACAACCTCCTATTTTGAAAGCAAGAATTCTACTTATTGTAGTGTTATAGCATGGATGGTAAAAGGCAGTTTTAAAAGCCTGTCACTGACTATATAGCAACCTTTGATTTCTTCAAAGTAGCAAAGGAATTGCTGGGTGAATTTGCAACAAGTATGCTACCTGAGATGAATAAGAGCACTCAGAATGGCATAACATGGAAAGGTGTGCTTTTAAAGCAGAGCAGAAAAATTTGCCATCTGTTTGAGCCCTCCAGAAATGAATGCCTGGCCCTTCTGGTGGCAAAGCAACAGGGCATTTTGGATAACCGTTTAGGTCGTAAATATAGAGACTGAAGGAGATGAGAATGTTTGGCCTTGGGAAAGAAGACTGAAAGAGGATACTAAGGCATTCTTGAAAGGATGTTAGCCAGAAGACGATTTAAATTTATTTTCTATTGTTTCAGATTCCACATAATACATGATTTAAGATACAAGAAGGCAAGTTTTAAAACACAGGAAGACAAATTTCATTTGCTAGAAAAAGAACACTCCTCAGTAGTAAAAGTCGTGAAAGATAATGAGTTCCGCTTCACTGAATGTATTTAAGGCTAAACAGGGATACTTTAATCTGAAGGGGATTAGACCAGATGGCCTAAATAGCCTATTCCAATTTATAAGTTTAAGAAAATAGTGAATGTTCCATTGGTTATACTGAAAATCTTGCAAGTGTCAATAAAATCAAAGCATACATGACAGCTTTCCCATTTAAGTTCTATTTTATATTCCATAACTAAGAACTTTGTAGGGCCTCTTCCCACTGTTTATCCAGTGTGATAAATCTCTGCTAAGCAAAAAGTTGTTGAATGCTTTCTTTTATATAATTAAAATTGTAAAGGACATTTGATTTGCTACATGACATTTATTGGTGAATTGAAGGCCACATTCTGCCGAGATGAATTGGGTACTTCTAGTTGCTTATCAGTCACTGCTTTTAGTGGATCGCTTGGTCCCTGTTTTTGGCTGACTTTACATGGTCAAAATGTGATTTGTTATCCACCACGATAAGATTTAAATTTTCATGAAGGTTAATAAAACTTAAGTATATGGGAACTGACTTTTTTTTATCAAGTAGCTGAATTAAAAACTAATCATATACTAAAACTGACAAGTAAATTTTCAGAAATAAGGCAGAATTTAACTAGGCCACAAACAGCTTTTGTCTTACCTACAAAAGAGGCAAACATATAGTTTCCTGAGAGAAAGAGGTTTAGAGAACAAAAGGTATCTCA